TTAAAGGGGGAATAAATTTTTATGTGGTGGGTTTGGGGTTTGTTTTGGTTTGGTTGGGTGGTTTGGTGTTATGATGTTAATTATTTGTATTTGATGAATGGAAGATTTGGTGGTGGTAGTGTTGTGTGTGATAAGGTGATGTTGAAGATTTAATTGTTTAGGGGGGTTTGGGAGGGTTAAAGGGGAGATATTTATATGTTGGTTGGGGGTGGAGTTTTAGATATAGTAGAATGTTTAAGTAGTGAGGTGGTTTGGGTTGGTGGGAGGTTTTGTTGTTTTGTTGGGGTGGGATGGGGGGTTTGTTTGGGTGTTGGTTGTGTGAGGTTGGTTATTTTTGGTGAAGTTTTTTAGTTTGATTGGGTATGTGTTGTATGGTGTGAGGGGGGTGTGTGGTGGGGGGGTGGGGGGGATGTTGGTTTTTTTTGTATGGGTGGGTTTTGGGATTGTGGTTTTGTAGATTTATTGATGGGGTTGTTTGATTAGGTTTTTTATTTATAGTTATTTGATTTGATTGTGTGGGGGGGTGGGATGTTATGTTGTGTTGTGTTTTAGGTAAATTTAGATTTGGGTAGGGGATATTGGGGGAATTTATATTATTTAGGTGGGGGGGTAGTTGTTTTGTTTTGGGTTTAGGTTTATGGGTTGATTTGGGTTATGGGATGTTGTTGGGGTGGGTTATTTTATTGTTTTTGAATATTTAAATAGATGGTGAGGAGATTATAGTTTAAATGGTATTATGGTGTTATTAGGTTGGAGATTTGGGTTGGGAATTTTTTTGTTTTTGATTATGGTTAGATTTTGGATTATGTTTTTTTGTTTGTAATGGTGATTTTTTGTAATTGGAATGTAGGGTTTGGGGTTTGAGAGTTGGTGGGTGTTGTTTTGTGAAGAATGAAATATGAAATGATAAGGGAGGTAAAGAGGGGAAGAAAGGGGAAATTTAAATATGAAATGGGATAAAGGTTTATTTGGTTTGATGGGAGGAGGGATTTAGGGGTTTAGGAAAGAGAAGATTGAAATAGATTAAGATGGAAAGTTGATGAGGGGGTAAAGGAAAGTAGTTTAGAAAAAAAATGTTAAAGGATAGGTGGAAAAAGATTTTTATATATGGTAAAGATGATAAATAGTATAATTAATTAAATTGAAATGTGGTTAGTAAGGATGGATTTTTGGATTAATAAGTTTGGAAGGAATTTTGTAGTGAAAAAGAAAGTGTATAAGTGATATTTAGATATATGGATAGAAGGATGATATGTAGAAGGTAGAGATGGGTATGGGTATAATTTAGTTGTAGTTTGAGGTTTTTGTGATGTTTTTAAGAGGGGTTTAGAGTAGGGAATTAATATTTATTGGGAAGGGTGTTAGTGATTAGGGGTTTTAGAAATTTTTTTGGGTGTGTGTTAAGGGTTTGATATTGTTGGTTGGTGTGAGTAAGATAGTTAATTGGGATTAGAGATTATTTATTGTTTTGGTAGATATGAGGAGTATTGGAGAATTTTTGTGTTGTTTTATAAGGGGGTGTTATGGGGTAGGTATTGTATTTATTTATTTGTTGGGTGGATTTTTGAGGTGTAAATGTTGTGGGGAGTTGTATTTTTATAGAGAATTATTATTATTATGTTTTTTTTTGGTGGGGAGATGTTTTTATGGTGGAGATGTTTTAGGGGTTGTTATGTTGGGGGGGGGAGGGGGTTTAGTTTTGGGTAGTTATTTATAGGGAGGAAGTGGTGTGAGGGTGTTGGTTTTATTTAATGTTTTGTTAGGGGGGTGTGTATTTTTGGAGGTGTTGTGTGAGGTATGTAGAGGTGGTTTTTTGTGTAATTAGGGGGTTGTGGTTTGTTGTGTAGTTATTTTTTTGGGGTTGTTGTAATAGGTTTTATATAGGAGGGTTAGTTGATAGGGAGGATATGAGTAAATAGATGTAGAGTTTAAATTATATGTTATATAAATAAAAATGGAATGTAAATAGGAAGGGGTTAAATTAGATTTGTAAAAAGTGTTAGATAGGGAAGTATAAATGAGTAAGAAGGTTGGTGGTATATGGTGGAGAAATAATAGTGGAGGAGGGGGGTTGTAAGGAGTAGGGGATATGATAAAAATTAATTGATTGTAAAGTTTTGAGTTAGATTTAAAGTTTTTATTTGATATATATTAATTTTTGTTGATAATTTTGTGTGTTTTTGAATTTATTTTTTTTGTGGGGGTTTTGTTTTATTGTGGATTTTTTATTTTGTGATAATATTAAAATTGGTTTTTGGGGGGTTGGTGGTTTGTTTTTTTTGGTTTTTATGGTATGTTATGAGAATGAATGGTTTTTTGAGATGGGGGGTGGGGATGGTTGGATTTTAGTGGAAGTGAGGGGTTTTGGTTTTAGGGGGTTTTAAGATTTTAAATGTTATTATAGGGTTGGTGGTAAATTAAGTGTAATTTTTGAGGGGGGTGGGGTGGTGAAGTTGGTTATGTGTTATGTTATGGTGGGGTGTTTTGAAGTTTGGTGTGGGGTTGGGTTTGGGGGGATTTGTTTTTATGAAGATTAAGGGATGTGGGAAAAAATATTTGGGTTTTTAGATTATTGGGTATTTGGTTATGGGGGTTGGGTTTTTGTGGTTTTAGATAGTTGTTTGTTTGTGAGGTTGATGTGGGGGGTGGGTGGGGGGTAGAATGGTTGGATGATATATGGTGGGTGTGGGGTTTGGTGGTTTTGGTTTTGTTGTGGGGGGGATTATGTTTTGTTGTTGTTTTGTTTTTTTAGTTTGATGTTGGTTTGTGTTTTGGTGGGTGGGTTTGGATGGGATGGGGGTAATTAGTGGAGGGGGGGTATGTTTGGAAAATTGTTGGGGGGTGGATGAAGGTTAGGTTTGTTTGTTTTAGTTTATTGAGAGAATTGAGAATATATAAAGTTAGTTTGGTTTGGGTTTTTTGATTTTTTAGTTTGGTTGTTGATATTTTATAATATGGGGTAATTTATTTTATTTGTTAATTTATAGATTTATTATTTTTGGATTTGGTTGGTTACATTAATATTATAGAGAGGGTTAAGTATAGTGTTATATTTTTGGTGTGATGAATTGTTTATAGTGTATGATTGATTTTGGTGTTTGTGGATGTATTTGGTGGTTTGGTGTTTGTTTGTGATGGGATAGATTAAGTAGTGGTTTTTGGTTTGAGAGGAGTAATTTAATGGGTATTGTAAGTTTATTTTGGGTGGTTGGGTTATATAGAATATAAGTGATGAGTTATTATAGTTTTTTTAGGAATGGGTGGGGGGTGGGGAGTTGGTATGGAGAGTAGGGTGTGATATTGGGGTAATTTTGATTTTTAGTTGGTGGGGAATAGGGGGTAAGGAGTGTGTGAATGGGGATTGGGGTTTATGTTTGATGATTATGGTTATTTTGGGTTTTTATTATGGTTTGGATGAATTAGGAAGATATTGAGGGTAGAGGGGGAAAGTTAGTTTTATGGTGTGATTTTGAGATTTTGATTATTTGGGGTGTTTGGGGATTTTGGTGAGTTGGGTATGTTTAAAGTGTTTAAGAGGGGGGTTAGTGTTGAAGGATTGGATATTTTGGTTAAGAAGTTGGTATAGGGGGTGGGGTGTGTTGGGTGGTTGTTTAGGTTTGGTATTAGTGGATGTGTGTTTTAGGTGGGGGTGGATTGGGGTTTTTATATTGTTTTTTGTTGGTGTGTGAGGTGTTGGTGTAGGTATTGAGGGTGTGTTATTTTGTAGTAATTAATTGGTGGTTGTTTTGTTTTGAGAGATATTATTATTTTTTTATAGAGATGGGGAGAGAGTGTATGTTTTTGTAAGTTTTATTAAGTTGTTTTTGTATGTTTAAGAATGAATTGGGTGTAGATTTGGTTTTGGTTTTTGGTTTTTGGTGTGTATGGTATGGTGTGGAGAGAGAGATAAAGAGAAGGGGAGGGAGAGTAGAGATAGAAGGTAGGGGAGAGAGAGTATTTGATGTTTTAGATTATGAAATTATTATTTTTTAGTAGAATATTTGATGGGAGATGTTGAGAATATATAAATTGGAGGATGAAATATGATGGGGGGTTTTTTGGGGAGTGTAGGGGATGGAGGATTATATGATGTGTGTAATGTATTGGTGTGTAGGAGTTGTGAGGGGGGAGGGGTGATGGATTTTATTAGGTTATTTGTTTTGTAGGAATGATTAATTGTGGAGTGATGGATTATTAGTTGGTAGTTTAAAGGAAATATAGGTGTAGTTGGAAGGTATAGGTTATTGTTAATTATGTTGGATAAAGATGGTTTGGAGTTGAGTGTTTATGGGTGATGTAAGGGGGGGGAGTGAAGAGGTATTAATTTTTGGAATAGATGGATTGTGGGTTATAAGTGATGTGGGTGGGGGTTGGTTGGTAAGGGTAAGAAAGTTTTTGGTTGGGGTTATGGTATTTTAAGTGTAGAGTTTGGTGTTGGTTTGTTGTTGTTGGTTGTTGTGTTTATTGGGGTTTAGGGGGTTTGTAGTAGTGTGTGTGGTTGTGTGGTTATGGTTGTGTTGTGTAGGGTTTTTGTTGTAATTGTGTTTTTTGGATGTTTTGTAATTTTTTTGATTTATTTGTGTTTTTTTTTTTAGTGGATGAGGATATTTGATAAATTATTAAAAAATATAAGGAATGAGTGTAAGATAAAATATTGGTAGTGGGGGAAGTATAAAAAGAAAGTGAAAAAAAAAAGGATAGTATGGAAATTTAGAGAAAGTTTTTTTTTGGGGGGGTTTTTATATTGGAGTAATTGGAGGTTAGTGGGTGGAGAGAGAGGGTGGAGATATATTGAGAAAATTTTGAGTGGATAAGAGAGAATGGTTTTGGTATTTTGGGTTAGGGGTAGATGATTGTTTTTGTGAGGGGGAGTGAGGTGGATTTTGGTTAGTTGAAATTATTTTGTATTGGAAATTAATAGTAAGTTATATGGAGGAAGGGATAGAAAAGAAGAAGAAGATAAAATTATTAATGATGATTTATAGATAAAGGATGGAGAGATGTGGAGGAGGAGAAAATTTTTGTTGGGGGGGGGGTTGTGGGTTGGGGTTTGGTTGTTGTGTGGGGGGTGGGGTGGTTTAGTGTTGTTTTTTGTTGGTTGAGTTTGATTTGTAGGTTGGTGGAGGGTGGATATTAGGGGTTGGGAATGTAGTTTAAATTTATTTATTTAAGAAGTGGTTTGTATGGGTTATGGTGTTGTTGGTGGAGTAGGTAGTATTTTGTGTTGGGGTGGATGTGTTATTGGTTTTGTAGTTTTGTTTGTATTTTGGGTGAGAGGTGTTGTTGGAGGAGGGTTTGGGGTATAATAGGAGGTGGAGAGTATATTGGATTTTGATAATTGGATAAAGGATAGTGAAAGTTTGTTGAAGTAAATGTTGTATTAGAGTTTTTAATAGATAATGTGATAATTTAAGGATTGGGAGAAAAGAGTAAAAAAAGGAGAAAAAAAGTATGGATAGAAAAGAAGGAAATTATATTAATATAATATTTTTTAGATGTATGGGGGAATGGTGGGTTTTGTGAGTGTTTTTTTTTTGTTGTTGGGGGTGTGTTGGTTATTGGTTGGGTTGGTTGGGGTTGGTTTGTTTTGTTTGGGTTTTTTTGAATATTGGTAGGTTATTTTGTGGGTTGTGTGGTTTTGGGTTGTGAGGGTTGGGTATGGGTTGTTTGGTGTTGGTTGTTGTGGGGTGGTTTGTTTGTGTTGTGTTTAAGTTGGTTGTAATAATTTATGGGTGTGTTAGTAGGGGGGGGGTTTTTTTGTGTGTATTGTGGTTTGGGGATTTTTTTTGGGTGTTTTGTATAATTGGATGGTTGTTTAGGTTTGAGTTTTGTTAGGGTATGGTGTTGTTTTTGGTTTTTGTTTTGGTTGTTGTTTTTGTTTGTTGTTTTGTGTTTGTTGGGGTGTATGTTTTTTTTTGTGTTGTTTTTTTTTGTTTATATTTTTTTATGTGTTGTAGGGTTTTTTTTGTAGGAGTAGTTTGGTGAGTGGGTAGATGTGTTTATGGGGGGGTTTGGGGGTTTTTATTGGGGTTTTTATTGGGGTGTTTGATTGGGTTTTTATTGGGTGGTTTGTTTGGTTTTTTGGGGGTTTTTGTTTGTTTTGTTTGGTTTGAGGGGTTTGTGTTGGGGTTTTTGATTTTTTTGTTTGGGGGTTTTTGTTTGGTTTGGTGTGTTTTGTGTTTGGGTTTTTTGGGTTGTTTGGGGTTTGTGTTTGTGGTTGGGTTGGTTTGTGGGGGTTTGGTGTTTGGGTTTGTTTTGTGGTTGTTGGGGGGGTTTGGTGGTGTGGGGTTGTTTGGGGGGGGGTGTGGTGGTTTTGGTTTGTTGGGTGGTTGTGGTTGTTGGGTTTGGAGGGGGGGTTGTGTGGGGGTTGTGGGGGGGGTGTGTTTTTGTTGTTTTGTGTGGTTGTATGTTGGGGGGGTGGGGTTTTGTGTTTTGTTTGGTGGTGTTGGGTTTTTGTGTTGGGTGTGTTGGGGGGGTTTGGGGTGGTGTTGTGGGTTGGTTGGGTTTTGGGTTTTTGTTTTGTGGGTTGGATTTATTGATGTATTTTTGTTGTTGTTGGGTGTATTTGGTGTTTGTGGTTGTTGGTTTTTTTTATTTAGAGTTTTTTGTTTGTGTTGAGGGGTGTTGGGTTGTTGTTGTATTTGTATTTGTGGTGGTTTTGTGGTGGTTAGTTATGTTTTGTTTGTTTGTTGGGGGTTTATTTTAAGGGGGTTTGTGTGGTGTTATTTTGGGGGGGGGGGGGGGGGGGGGGGGTTGGGGTTTTTGGTTTTTTTATGGTTTGGTTTGTTGTGTGTTGTTTTTTTTTTGTTTATTTAAGTTTTTGTTTTTTTTTGTGTTTTGTTATGTTGGTATTTGTGGGGGGTTTTGTTGTTATTTTGTAGGTGGTTATGGGGGGGTGTGGAGTGGAAATGGGTTGGTTGTTGGGGTTTGTTTGTTTTGTGGGGGGGGGGTGTAGGGGGTTTTGAGGATATGATGGTGGGGAGAGAATGTATAGGTATATGAAGTTGATTTTTTTTTAAATTATGTATTTTTTATAATTGGATTGATAAAATATGTTTATGTTTTATAATTGATATATATAAATTAGATGAATGATTGTTAAGAGATGTTAGATTAATGGGATAGATGAATAAATATAAGGAATTGAAAAATGAATATAGTTAAATATTGAAGATATAGATTGTGTAGTTTTTAAAATTGTAGGGGGGGTTGAAGGAGGGTTTTTTGTGTGTGGGTTGGTTAAGTAGTTTTTATTGTTTTGTTTAGGTGTGTTTGGGAGTTTTGTTGTGGATTGGAGGGGTTTGTGTTTATGTGTTTTTTTGTTGATTTTGTTATTTTGAGTGTTTGGTATGTATATGGGGATTAGGATGTTGGATAAGGTTAGGTTGTTTTTGTTTGGTTTTGTTTGGTGGTGTATTTTGATGTTGTATTTGGTTAAGGTATTGTTGGAGTGTTATGTATTGTTTTTTATGGGAGGTGGTGTGAGTTTTGGTTTTAGTGGTTGTTAGTTATTTATTTATGTGTGGTTTTTTTTTGGTTATTTGTGTGGTGAGTTGGTATTAGGTTTAGAGTAGTGTTGGGTAGAGAAGTATTTGTATTTTGGGGGTAGATTATTGTATGGTTTGTGATATGTGGTAAGGGATATTTAATATTGGTTTAATTTTGTGTGTTAAGGGGGTGGGGGTGTTGATATTGGTTGTTAGAGGGATGGGATTTTAGGTAGTTGTTTTGTTGGTGTGTTTTTGGGGGGGGTAGGGTTGTTATATAAGATAAGAAGTGGTGATATTTTAGTATAGGTTGTTTTATGTAAGGGTGGGATTGTTAATGTTTTGAAGTGGAGATTATTATGGGTGATAGGTTTAGGTATGATAAAGTTATGGTTATATAAAGTTTGTTATTAAAATTTTATATGAATTATAGTGTATTATATTTTTATTATTGATTAATATTTTTGTTGTTGGGTGGGTATTTGTTGGGGTTTGTATGTTATTTTTTGGGTTTGTTGGTTTGGTGTGGTATTGTTGGTTTTTTTTTGTTGGTTATGTGTGTTTGGGGGGGGGGTGTTGGGTTGGTTAGTTTAGGAGTTTGTGTATTTTGTATGTTAGTTGAAAGGGGTGGGGGGTGAAGGTATTGATTTATTTTTTGTAGGGGTGTGTAGGGTATGGGAGGATTATTGGATGATAAGTGGGTGGGTTGTATTTTAAGAGTGGGAAATTTATATTTTTTGTTTGATTTTTAAGGAGAATGATAGTAGTTATTGGTAATGTTATTTTTTTGGTTTTTGGGTTTTTGTGTTATTAAAAGTTTTGGTATATATGTTAGTAGGGATTTTAATGAGGGGTTGGGATATGGTTAATTGGTGGGTTTAAGGTTAAGTATTATAATGAAAGGGTGTATTTTGGAAATATGTGTGGATGGGTATAAAAAAATAAGAGATGGGGGTTTTTAATTGTTTAGGTTGATGGGTGTAAATTGTTTTTGTTTTTATGATTTATGATAGATAGATGTTATGGATGTAAGTGGTATGGGGTGTTTATTGTTAATTTTAAGTTATTATTTTATATTGGAATTTATTTTTAATTTGTTATATGTTAAGGATGGTTTAAAATTAAGGAGGTTTATATTAATTAATGAAAAAGGGGTGGATGGGATGTAGGTTAGATGGTTGGTTGGTATTTGTGTAAGGGTTGTGTGGAGGGAAGTTTGGTTGGAGGGGGGTAGTGTGGGGGGTAGGGGGGATGAAGATTGGAGATATGGGAGGTGATATGTGTGTATTTTTTTGTAATGATGAATTAAAGGTTGAATTTATTAAAGATGAAAGGTGGGTTGGGAGGGGGGGGTTTTATTTTGTTGTTTTGGGTTTATTTGAAATTGGATTAAGGATGTGTTTTTTGGGTAATTGTGGGGTATGGGTGGTTATTTGTAATTTGGATTGGGTTTTTTTTTTTTTTGTGGTTTTTTATGTATTTATTTTGAGTTGGATATTTTTGTATTAGTGGTAAGGTGAGGTTTTTATAAGGAATAAGTTAATTGGTGGTGGGATTTTGAATAAGTGGAGAGAGTTTATTTATGGGGTAGAAATTGGGATTGATAAATAAGTAAATAATTGTTTTATAGGTGATATTGATGATGATAATATTGATAATAAAGTATTTTTTGTATATATAATATTTTTTGGATATGTTAGATATGATGATATTTTTGAGGATTATATTTAGTATTTTATTAATTATATTGGGATTATAATTATAGTAGTTAAATAGTGTTATGGAATTAAGGGTATGGGGGAGTTTGAATTATAAGTTTTATTGATTATATGTTTTAGATTTAGAATATTTTGTTAATTTTGTTGGAGGTGTGTTGTTGTGGGGTGGGGGGTTTTTTGATGATGTATAAGGTTTTTGGTTTTGTTGGATTGGGTTGAGTGTATGATTGTTTTGTATATTTGTGTGGGTGAGGTGTGTTAGGGATTGGGATTGGGGTATGGGGAAGTGATAGAATATATTTTTAGAAATGTATTAATTGATTTATGGTTAGAGAGATTATTATTATTATTTGTTTTTTTGGAATTTGAAGTTGAAAAAGTTGATATTAGAAATGGTGGTGGGGTTATTGAATTGGGGGATTGGATGTTGTTTTTGGATTTTGGATTGAGTATGGGTGGTTTGGGTATATTTTTATTGTGGGATGTATGGGTTGTTTGTTGGGGGTTTTGGTATTTTGTTTATTTTTTGTTTTTGGTTAGTTTTTTTGTTTGGGTTTTTTTTTGGGTGGTGGAGGGGTAGTGGAGGATTGGATGAATGTGAGGGAAATATTTTTTTTTTGTATTTAGTGGTTGGGGTGGTGTGGGTTGGTTTGGGTGTTGGGGATGGGGTTTTTGGGTGGTGTTGGTGTTGGGTGGTTGTTTTGGGGTTTTGTTTAGGGTTGAATTTGGGTGATTTGGTGATTGTTGGGTTTGGGAAGGGTTTTTTGGGAGTTTTTGTGTTTATTGTGGTGGTGGGTGGGTTGGTTTTTGTGGTTGTTGTTTTGTGTTGGGTTGTGGGGTGTGTGTGTTGTGGGTTGGGTGATGGGGTTGGGGTTTTTGTAGTTGTGAGGAGTGGGTTGGTTTTGTGTTTTTTTTTGTTGGTTGGGGATTGAGTAAGTGTGAGAGTTGTAGGATGTATTTGGGAATGGATGGGGGGTTTTTTTTGATGTGGTTTTTTGGTATTGTGGGTTGAGTTTTTGGGGTTTGGTTGGTTTGGTGATTGTTTTTGTGATTTTGAGGGTTATTGTGTTTTATTTGTTTGTTTATTTGTTGTTTATTTAGTTTTTTTTGTTGTGTGGGGGGTGGTTTTGAGGGTGGTAGGTTGGATTGTTTTGTGGTGGTTGTGGTTTTTGTTTATTATTGTTAGGGGTTTTTTTTGGGGTTTTGGGTGGTTGGTTTTTTTTGAGTTTGGGTTTGGGGTGTTTTAGTGAAAGTGGTGGGGTTTTTGGGTGATTGGTATTTTTTTGTTTTTTATTATGGTTGTTGTGTGTGTTGGGGGAGGGGGTAGGGAGTGGTTTATGTGGATGAGTGGAAGTTATTTGAAATTGTTGGGAAAGATTTTTTAATTTTGTGATATTTTTGTGTGGGATTTAGTTATTATTAGGGTTTTTGTTAGTTGTGTTTTGGTTATTTTAATATTATATTGTTTAGGATAATTTAGTAGGTTTTGGTGTTTGTTGTGGGGGGTTTGGGGTGTGTGTTTGTTTTGGATGGTTTGGTAGAGTTTATTAGGGGGTTGGGGGAGTTGGGTTTTTAGGTTAGGGGATATTTGGGGTTTTGTGTATGAGGGATGTTATTGGTTATGGTATGTGTTTTTTTTTATGAGAGGGGGGGGGTGTGTGTTTTGGTGTAGTTGGGGTTGTTTATTTTGTGGTGGTGTAGTTTTTGTGTGGGGTTTGGTGGTTTTTTTTTTAGGTGTAGTTTGGTTGGGGTTTGGGTGATGTGATGGTGGTTGGGTTTAGTTGTGGTAGTTAGGGATGGTGGTTATGGAGATGGTGATTATGTGGGATGATGATAAGGGGATTGTGTTAAGGAGAGTGGTGTTGTAAATTATAAGTATGGTTGATATTAATTTAGTTTGGGTGAGTTTATGAATGTAGTTTAATATTAATAAGAAAAAATGAAAGTGTTAATTTAGTATTATTTGGTGGAATTTTGAATTGTGAGTGTGGGTTGTATAGTTGTGAAAAATTTATGATTGATTATTATTTTTTTTTATAAAATTAAGGGGGGGGTTGTATTGGTTGTGTTTGGGTATATTTTTTGATGTGAGATATGGTTAGGTTGATTTTTGTTTTTGATGGGGGGATGGTGTTTGGGGGGTTTTGTGTTGTTGTGGGGTGTTTGTAAGTTTTGTGGTGGAGTTTTATGTGTGTGTGTGTTTTTGTTTGGTTTTTGTTTGTTGTGTTGGGTGTGGGGGTTTGTGGTGGGGTGTTTTTTTGGGTTTTTAGAGGGTTTGGTAAATTTTTTTATTTATATGTTGGGGGATGTTGTGGTAATTATTTATGGGTGTGTGTTTGTTATGGGGTTGAGTGTTGGGGGTAGTTTTTGTTGTGTATTGGGGGGATAGGTATTTATTGTGGTTGGGGAGTGTTTTGTGTAGGAAGGATTGAAAGGGTGGAAGGAGTTTAAGAAATGGGGAGGTAGTTTTGTGAGTGTTATTATATTTTATATATTTTAAGGTGAGAATTTTTAGTGGTAGGGATTTGGGTATTGGGGAGGAGGGTTGGTATGTTTTTTTGATGTAATTGGGGTTAATTTTTTTGAATGTTTTTTTTTTTGGTAGGTGGGTGTGTAAGAGTTAGTTATAAGGTGAGGGTGTGTAAGAGGTTATAATAGAGGATAGGTTTGGAATTTAGAGGGAAGGTATTTAAGATTAAATATGATGTTGTATGTGGTGAGGGAATAATAGATTATGTAGGAAGGGAGGAGGATTGGAAAATTTAGGTATTATTGGTGGTGATAAGGGTGTGTTATTGTTGTAAGTTGGAAGTTTTAAGTTTGTTTAAGTATAGTGTGGTGTGTGAATGGGTTGGTGGTGGTTTTATTGTATTTTTATTTGGGTGTAATTGTTGTGGGGATTGATGAATGAATATATTAGGTTGAAATTTATGGGGAAGTTTAGGAGATATTGGTGGGAATTGAGGTAATAATGGGGAATAAGTATAATGAGTATAAATGGGTATAGAATTGGGAAAAAAATTTGGGGGGGTGATTTAGATGTGGGATGTAGGGATGGAGTGTAGTTTAGATAGGTTAGTTGTTTATGTGGTGGTTATTTTGTGATGTGATATTGGATGTTGGGGGAGTGTAGGAGGGAGAGGTAGGTAGGAATTAGGTTTTTAATAGTGTAAGGGTGAGGGGGGGTGATGGGGGGATGTTTTGTTGTTTGTTTATTGAAAATTGGTTTGATGTGAATAAGTAGTGTGATTGTTGATGAAAATTTGATTATTTGTGGGGTGGGATTGGTTTAATGATAGGGATGAAGTTTATTTATATGTGTTTTTTTAGTGGGTTTTTTTTTTTTGTTTATTGATTTGTATTGGGTGTGAATATGTTATATTGGTTGGGGGGGTGGGAGTAGAGAATATTTATAAGAAATGTAGAGAATTGATGTAAGATTAATAAATGTGTTGGATTTGATTTAGTTAGAGTAAGAAGAAGAAGAAGTATATATAGAGAGTAGAAGAAAAAAGAAGATAAGAAGTAAGAAATAGAAGAAATATTAGATAAGAAGAAGAAGAAAATAAGAGTAAAAATAGAAGATATAGAGTAAGGAAGAATAAGAAGATATTAGAGTTAAATTAAAGAAGAAGATATAGAGTAAGAAGAAGAAGAAATATAGAGTAAGAAGAATAAGAAGATATAGAGTAAAAAAAAGAAGATATAGATAATGAAGAAGAATAAGATATAGAGGTAAGAAGAAAGAATAAATATAAAGTTAAGAAGAAAGAAAAGATATAATTAAAAGAATAAAAGATATTTAAGTAAGAAGAAAAGATATAGAGTAAGAAGAAGAAGAAGATAGAGTAAGAAGAAAAGAAGATATAGATAAAAAAAAAGAAGATAAATGTAAGAAGAAGAAGAGTATATATAGAGTAAAAAAAAGAAAAAGATATAGAGTAAGAAAAGAAAGAGTTATATATAGAGTAAGAAGAAGAAGAAGATATTAGAGTAAGAAGAGAAAAGAAATATAATTAAGAAGAAGAAGAGTATATAATAGTAAGAAGAAGAAGAAATATAGAGTAAGAAAAGAAGATTATATATAGAGTAAGAAAAGAAAGTGATATAGAGGTAAGAAGAAGAAATAGAGTAAGAAGAAGAAGAGTTTATATAGTAAGAAGATAGAAATATATATAATGTAAGAAGAAGAAGAAGATATAGAGTAAGAAAAGAAGAGTATATATAGAGTAAGAAGAAGAAGAGTAATATATAAAGAGTAAGAAGAAGAAAGTATATATATAGTAAGAATGAAAAAAAGTATATATAAGTAAGAAAGAAAGAAGATATATATAGGTAATATATTAGGGGTGAATGTTTAATAGATATAGATTGAGATATTTTTTATGTAGATGTGTTGATTTGCGGGTTTGGGGGGGGTGGGAAAGAGTTGAGAGAATAAGAATGATAAAACATAACATAAACAAAGATGATAGATAAGAAAGAATAATGAGAATTAAATTAAGGTAAATAGGTATAGAGTATCAAATGAATAATAAATAGTAAATTGATAATGAAAGAGAGGTAAGTAGGTATATAAGAATATAGGATATATGATGGTATATGAGATTAGAGATTGATTCTGATTCTGATTCAAGATAAGATTTTGCGTAATTCCAGTTTCATGGTTACCGTAGTTCTGGAACCATCTTTAATGAAGTGTCACATGGATTTCAAAGGCAGATCTCTATGAATAGAAAGTGCAGCTACACTCGCCGCACTCTTCGTCAGCGGCCAAATGTCGCATAATAATAATTACTCCAAAAACACATTTTCCTCAAGTTGACTTGATACTAACACTTGTAGTCGTTGACAATAGCAGAAAAACAATGTAGAAGCGAACACAGAGCGTGGAGGACGTGGAACCATATGCTGGGAAAGGCTGTGTGCGCTGATTTGTTGTTTTGATTTTCTCCGCCTGTCACTCACCTCTTGGAGACGAGCTTCTGTTGCCACGTCACAAAGTGAATTGAGTCGTTTGGCGTCCTCTCGAGAATCAAATATTGCTCTCTTACTAAAGCTTGAGGGGATCAATACAATAAAAAACTACTTTGGGTAGTGGCATGTGTATCAAGGCTAAATAGCGCTGTAATGTGATGTTTAGACGTTTAAAGCAGAGAAAAGTCAAAAAGAGTAATATGGGACTTTAAAAAAAAAAAACAACAACAACAATTTTGCATCCTTTGTATGATTTAAGATGGAGTTTCATTGTTTGGTCTGAGCCTGCAGTGTTTTATTCTATTACATACATAACACGTGTGTGTAGTTTATACAGTGTGTGTCTGTCTATAATGAGATTACAGCAGCACAGACACTCGGGTGCAGATTCGGTTACAGAGAACTCTGAGGGACCTGAGATGAACCACACACAAACTTTAACATTAAGAATATTTTCAATGACTCATACAGACCAATGCAGCACTCACTAAAGTTTTACACCCATCAGTCTAGTAAGGCACAGGATAAAAACAGGAAATTATCAGATTTGGATTTACAGATCTGCCATGTGAGAAGATGTTGTTTACTGATATTAATCAGAGCCGAATTCATAACATAAGCAAAGATTGACCGATATGCCCTCATGCGTAATGATACACATTTGTCTCTGGCTTTCAATTATGCACACATATTCCAAGACAAGCATAGAAATAGATTAGGATGTGCATTAAAAGCCGGGTCTTGCTACAACACTATAGGCTGTCCGTTTCGTTTATTTAAGGATAATGTGTGGTTGCATTAAAAAGATGGCTGCTCCAGATTTGCTACTACCATGCTACTTGCCATCTCTTATTTGTAACTGCTGTGTCCATATCATAGTCTGTATATTAGAAGTGGACTGACTGAGTTCTGACTTCACCATAGTGTTAAGCTCAATGCAGAAGAAGCTGATTAG